CCTCCAATATTCAGGTAGCAGAGTCCTCTTCAAAGGCATCACACATGAAGACAGATCCTTCAAAGAGTTCAACAAAAATTGCTGCCACCCCTTATTTGATCACTTGGCCAACACCCCTAGATTGGAGCATGATGCAGCTTTCACCTACAACTTCGACAACATCAACATGATCTCTAGAGAGCTCGGTATCCCCTGGGAGGTAGAGAAAGACCAGGGTTTCAACCACTCCACAATATACATCAGTTTCCTATGGGATCTCCAGCACCAGGTGGTGACCCTCAGCAAAAACAAGACCATCAAATACCTACAAGCCATTCATGAATGGTGCAAATGACAGGTACACATGCTACAAGATGTACAGGAATTGTACAGCAAGCTCTTGCATGCCTCCTCTTTGTTCCCCCAAGGATGTGCATACCTAACTAGCCTAGAGCACATGATCACAGTATGCTCACCAAAGCCTTTCTTACCTCACAGGCTGGACAAACACTGCCAAACAGACTTTGAATGGCGGACAAGTGCACTGCAGGAAGGGAAACTCTGACACCCTCTGATCCCCCCTCTGACTCAAGTAGACCTCCAAGCATTTTCAGATGCTAGCTCTGGCTTTGGCATTGGAATCATTGTCAGCGAAGGATGGAGGGCCTGGTGCCTCATCCCAGGCTGGAAGTCAGTGGGATCCAAACATGACATCAGCTGGGCAGAAGCCATTGGCTTTGAATTCCTCATCAACACAATCAACATGATCCTATCCTCCCCTACCCACATCACTGTCCACAGAGATAACACTGGCATTGTGGAAGGCAGGTGGACAGGCAGACACTGGAACCAAGAAGTCAATGAAACTTTCAAACATATACACAATCTCATCCACAATCCCAACTCTAACCTGCTTAGCATCCAAATGAGAGGCATCTATGGTAACCCCAGAAATGTCCTCCCTCCTCTCCCCATCCCTAGCTACCTTTTCCAGTTTGTTGTTAACTTTGACACCCCCATCCTACCAGCAGAACAACAAGTGTGCCAAGAAGGCTACTATGCACTCCAACCTGCCCAGGCCATCAACTGTATTGTGAGACAGCACGAGGCAGAGAGGAACCTCTCCTCCCACCAATGGCTTGTTGACAAGCTCATCGACAAAGCCATTGCTGACCTCAAATAGCAAAGCCAACAAGTTCAACACACCACTGAACAACACAGACTCCACACAGACATCAGCCCCAAAGCCCTACCACCCCCACCTCACCCTGGCCCCCTCACCCCTCAGACCACATTGTCATGCCAGAGATAGGCTTCTCTGCTGGCACCCAGCCTCCTCAACCCCAGAAGTGACAGCCTCTGCACCACTCTCAACAGAGATCATCCAGCAAATAACAAGTGTAATTGGTGCCTCTTGGACAGAGGCCACCAAAGAACTCTATGGGACAAGCATACTAGTCTACCACATTTTCTGCAACATGAACAACATCCCAGACAGCGATAGGTGCCCAATTTCATCCAACTTACTCTCAGCATTCCTAGCAAGCTGCGCTGGAGCCCACTTGGGTTCCACTCTCATGAACTATGCAGCAGGCATCCAAGTGTGGCACATTGTGCACAGATGTGGCTGGAACATCAACAAAAGAGAGTACAAAGCCATCCTGGAGGGTGCCACAAGACTAGCCCCTGCTTCTTCTAAATGTCCCCACAGAGCTCCATTCACCACTGACACCCTCAAACTTGTCCACAGCATGTTAAACAAAGATGACCGATGTGATGCAGCAATATATGCATGCATAGTAGTAACTTTCTACTACATTGCCAGACTAGGAGAATTCACCATACCCTCCATCCAAAGTTTCAACCCAAAAAAACACATCTCCAGAGCAAGTTACTGACTTGTACGCAATCAGCAAGGTCTCCTGGTAATAGTCTTCAACCTCCCAGCCACAAAGTGCTTGATCAAGGGCGAAATGGTTCAATGTGCCCCCCAAGACAACCTCATCACAGACCCCATGCAAGCCCTACAAAACCACATTTGTCTAAACCCAGCTACCAATGATGCACACCTCTTTTCCTGGAAGCACCCCATTCATGGCATTAGACCCTTATCCAAGACAGAAGTAATGAGAATGATAGCAAAACTAGCTAAATCTCACCCAGGACTGCTGAATATCAAGGGCCACAGCCTCCACATCAGAGGCACACTCTTTTACCTACTAAACAAAGTCCCTTCATCAGTAAATCACTTTTGCTGGCCAGAGCTGTCCAGCACTGGACAGATTCCCTAGGACTGCCAGCACACAAAGTGGTTTACTGATGTTTCAATGTCGTTAAGACCATGGGTCACTGGTCAGGGGATTCATTCACCTTATACCTTAGGCACCACACTCTGGTGCTCGCTCCTTTCCTACAGTCCAAACCAGAGCTTCTCAACGTTCTCAAATGATACATACTCCCCCCAGTACGGTAGGAAGTGAGTCCACAGCTCCTTTTTCCCAGGCCTCAAGCTTCACTGGACATGTTGCTGACTCCTTATGTTTTGGGTTTCACAGCTCAGCTCAATGATTTGGATCTTGGCTTCAGGCCAGAAAACCTAATGGTTTTCGCCCAGTCCCTTTCAAGCAGCACCCCTAGTGATATAGTACTTCACCAAATACTCTTATATTCTCTCCCACAAGCACTGTACATTCCTTCCCCTAGCTAACTAGTTGAATGCATAGATGGATGACTCTGGTGTTACAGGCTGACTATGCAAGATCACTGTGATCACAGGATATGAAGAATGGGGCAACTGACATACTGTGTGCAAGGTACTGTGGTTACAAGCAATGGCAACATGGACAAGGGCGACAACAGCAGCAAGTAGCATGATAGCAACGATGACAATGACAACTAGACTTAGCATGGATCGATGGCCAAGCAAGATCAGATGTGCCACTCGACAGAAACAGGTCACGAAGAGCACAGATGGAGAGCCCAATGGCTCACAGGTTTGTTTTGTTTTTATTTCGAAATGTTTTACTTACATCTATTCTACACTAGGGAAAGCCAGTACATGCGATGAAGTGCGACCAACACCCAGATGATTGAGATACAAGAAACAATGAAGACAGTGCTGGATGCAGAGTGGTGGCCATGCAAGGCTAGAACAGCCATTCTATGGAGACAAGGCATGATGAGTGCGGGTACTGGGCTTGATGGCCCAGGGTTTTGTTTCAATTCTAGAATGTTTTACTTACATCTACTGCATTTTAAGGGGTACAGGCTTCTACAGAATATTGTACAGAAGTTACAGTGGTTGCTGGCAACGACAGCAGCACTTAATGCAGGTCAAAGACTGCATGAGACAAGAATGACCATCCAAAGGAAATGATGCGCAATGGAGACTACTGGGCTCGAATGCTCTGAGTTTTGTTTTAGTTCTAGGATATATTAGTTACATCTTCATTATTCTAGGGAAGCCGATCATCTATGACGAAAAGCAATCACAATTCAAGATTCTAAGACAAGCTATGAACAAAGCTCACCCAGAAGTAAGACAAGAGCAACTGTGATAACCATGGCAACCACTACAGCAACAACGACAATGATGACATTACTTGGAGCAGATCAACAGCCATACAAGAAAGGAGATGCCATTCAATGGAAATGGGGCACAACGAGCATGGGTTCTTGGCGCAATGGCCCAAGGTTTTGTTTTGATTCCATAATGTCTTACTTGCAACTATTCTATTCTAGGAAAAATAGACATATGAAACGATGTGCGAGCGATGTTTAAGCAGCCATGATACCATGGATGACAACAACCTATGGGGAGAGCCAAAGGACTGTCCTTGTGAAGCTACATGACATGAAACAGTGGCGCTACTATGAATGGGGCGAGTGGATAGGGCAAACTGAAGGCTTGAAGGTGGTGTTTTTCTTTTCATACAGTATGTTGGAAAATTATTTGGTCCATTGCAATGATGTCAGATTTTTACATGGTGATAATCAGTTCACAATAGATTGCATGTGAGAGTGTGGAGTTGCAATACACTGGCAATGCTGTTGCAATGCCCTTTGCAACAGCAACTGCTACTGTCTGCATCTTGCTTTGCTGTCCACTCATTTTTCTTTATTGTATTTACTGTCTTTACTCTCACAGGATGCATTCCCTTTGTCAACCAGAAGTATGCCTCTGGAAAAGCACACTACTACCTGCAAATCATGTGGGAAAACATTCAAGCTGACTGGAATAGGATTTCATCACAAATCTTGCATCAGGCAGGCTCGCAAAACGAATGAAGATCGTGCTCACTTTGACTTGCTTCATTGAGAAGGTACATAGGAATTTTACCAGTCAATTTTATTTCTGATTTACCACTGGATCGATTTGAACAGGTGTTCTTACTGGTGGATCAGTGACAGGGCCCACTGTTGAGATGCACACAGAGCCAGCACCAGGTAAGTTTCCTGCTACTCTCCAAATTGGACTCTCACAATTGTTAGCAGAGCCTGCTACATTCTGGCCCATGGTTATGGATCTCAGGCCACCTGCTGGTGCTGACATGGGTGTGAATGATGAGCTGAATGGTGCATGTCAATATGCAATCACATATTTTCCATGCCAATATGTTATGCAGTTGCTGAACCCAAGGTTGATATCAACATTGTTGATGATATCCGAGTTGAATACCACCTGAATGCTGGAAGCCAACTGTGAAAGTGCCATTCACTGAGTTCACCTGAGGTCATGCACCCAAGACATACAAACTGGACCCATGCACCACTCCATGGTACCCATTCTGAACCTGTCTCGACTTCAACCTCTCAGAATTTATCCATGATGCTGCTCTCAACAAGGAGAAAGTGAATTGTATCCTCAAGCTTTTGAAACGTTCTTGCACTGAGGACTGGACTCTGAATAATTACAATGATCTTGAGAGCACTCAGTGGGCTGCTTTGCACTGCATGACAGCAGTAATTGGCATCTATTCATTGTCATTGTCAACCCTAATTACATCCTAGCCCAGTTTCAGATGATGATAATAAGTGCACCATTTGGAGGTGAGATGATGGAATTTAAGATGTATTATCGTTCATTGTGGGATTGGGCCTGTGATCTCTTGAAGGATTCAGGTGTGGGCCCATATTTTGTATTTGATGCTCAGTGCCTATCCAAGTTCGATGGCACTTCATTTGTTCATTTCATCGATGAGCCATGGATGGCTAACAAATTTTGGGATGTGCAAGTATGTCATTAGTAGTCTTTGCATGCAACTTCAACAATTTTTTTCAGAGTAATCTACCTTCAGATGGCAAAGTTCTAGTGTTTGTTTTATATGCTGATAAAGCCAAGTTGTTGTCATTTGGTCGACAAAAAGGGTATCCAGTTGTTGTGCAGATTGTGAATCTACCTACTTGGATCTGTAATGGTGAAGGTTTAGGTGGTGGCCATGTAGTCAGGTGGTTAATGATTGTAAGTGCCTTCATTGATAGCGTTGAGTACACTGGCTGATTTTCTGTATTGTGCTTCTAATAGGTGAAGGAAGACAAGAAGTACTCTGGAAAGAAATTGTTTGCCAACTTCAAGAATCATGTTTGGCATGAATCATTCAAGAAGATACTAGATACAATATCAGAGTACTCGAAAACTGGCTATTGGGTAAGGTGTTGGGATGGTGTCGCACACTGACTTTTTCCTACCATACTAATTCTTTCAGCTGATTATGAAGAGCAGTAAGTGGATATGCTGCCCAAAATATCATGAATGCATGCTGACAATCTTTGTCACTCAGAGCAGTCATGGCACTCATATGTGGTGTGATGTCAAATCACCCTTGCCCTGTTTGCCTTATCCATTGCAACAAGATATCAAAATTCCCCAAGGACTGTGAACATCATACCAGTGAGAACATTTTCAAGACATTACAGGAAGCACACTCACAGACCTGAGCAGATGGCAAGGAACAAATTCTGGTGAAACAGGGACTATGTGATGTAGATGTAAGTGGCTCATGCTGTTACCTTTGCTCTAGCTCTAATTGCCTCTAGAGTGCCTTCTGGGAGGTCTGGAACATGGACATTTATTGAGCATTGTGTTGGGATAGACTCCATGCCAACTGTGTGGGAAAATTTGGCAACCATTTGTGGGGAGAACTTTTGAGGATTCTCGAGACAATGGGTCATCAGATGATGGGAAAAGTTGAACAGAAGTGCATCTATCTTGTTGCATGAAGCAGTTGTGCTGATAATTTACTAGTCTCAATGCGATGCCTCATTGGCATGGTCTCAATCATTTTGAGGAAGCACTTTCAGTTTCATACACAGATGGTCAAAAGTTTGAGGACCTATCCAAGGTATTGTAAGTGTCTTACCAAGCTCTGATTTTGCTGACATTTCCTGAACAGATAATCATATTCACCTGTCATGACATCTTCCCCCATGAGATGGAAAAAGATGGTTACCTCCTGTTATGCTGTTTGCGCACTTACATCAAGTTTGATATGTATAATGCACTCAAATTACATATGACACACACACTTGCCACTGGGTGGGAGGTGCTCACTACTTTCAATTCATTGATTCAGGTCAGCACTGCTTTCAATGTTGTAGCTCTCCCTCACTCTTTCCTGACCAGAAATATGCAGAGAAGATGCAACATACAGCAAAAAACTGGAACTTTCCAAAGAACCATACCCATATGCATGTGTTTGATGATATCAAAGCCAAGGGTGTCACCCACAATTTCAACACAAAGCCAAATGAGAAAATGCATGGCCCCTTGAAGGAAGCTTATCAAAAACAAACAAACTTCAAGGACATTGCTCAGCAAGTAAGTCCTAAATTGTTTGTTAGTATTCAGTGTGCCTAAACTTCTGTAGATTCTCAATGTCAATCATCTTGGACTGGTTCTTGAACACATTCATGGCAGGATTACAGAATATGACACTTACAGGTTGACTGGAAAACCAACAAATCTGGATAACCTCAAAGCCATTACTGATGAACCTGAAGAGGAGTTTTTCCATGTCAAGTTTGGTAGCAAAGTGAAAGAACCATGAGTGTTCGAGGACATTGAGAAGAAGAGTGTTACTGACAATGTGTCCAATTGATTCCATGGAAAGCTCAGTGAGTTCCTCAATAAACACTTCAACATTATAAGGAAGCCACTTCCCAGCAGGAAGCCCATTCAATTCCAAAGGAATGACAAGGTAAGATGAAATGTCATTTTTGTTCAGTTTCCAGTATCTGTAATATTCACCAAAGATCATGGAATATCGCTTTGTCAAAGTGAACTTCGAGTCCACCGTTGACTGGTGTCAGTACATGCATTATCTACATTGCCATCCTAACTTCCATGGATGTCCTCGTTATGACTGTGTGCTTGTCAAGACTCAGGAGAAAGACATATTTGGGCAACTCATACTTTTGTTCAATTGTGTCATCAGTGAAGAAACCTTCCCTTTGGCCTTTCTACACCCATATGATGCCCAGCTGATTGGGCAATGGCTCCGGAAGGACAACCACCTCAACTTCTGGAGGGTATGTGCGCAACCATGCAGATCATCTGAAATTATTTCACTCCACTCAATCATTCACATTTATATCCAGATCATACAAGACCAGGGGAGTATCTTGTTGTTGACACAATCAACACTGACATGTTCCTTCATGTGCAAATGATGCACAAAGTGGCAGGGCACCTCTGAAACAGTCTATTCATACATTGTCCTTCTGAAACCCTTTCATTTGAAACTGACAAGTCCCCCTTCTGATCATCAGTGTATTGAGGATTGACAAGCTGTCTAGCCCACGAAACAACAACATTTTCATTACTTCATAGATCCATATGGCATACAAGGTTATTTTTCCTTGACCATAGTCACCTCCTTGCTTTGGTTCATTTATTACCTTACTGCTAATAATATCTTTTCATCTTTGAACCACAGAGATTTGTGAGTATGCACTACTCCAAGGTTGTTCATGTGAATGTTGTTCAGCACTCACTGTCATGCCCTTCAATCAGGGGTCCAAGCAGGATGTCAAGGCACTCATCGACAATATCTATGCTACTCTTGGCATGGATCTCAACTACATCCTTCCATTTTCTGCTGTTCCAGAGAATGGGCATGAGATTGATGGCTTGGACAACAAATTGGAGCTTGCTCACTGTATTATTATGCTCATCAACTTGCTGCAGATTTGGGTGCCATCAAGACCAAAAAAGTGTCTGGTCAGCTTGTTACTCGGCCTACCCAGGTTATTTTGCCATTGTCACCAAACCACGGTCCCTTTGGCAATGATGACCTGCACTCAGAGTCCAAGATCTTGCTTGAAACCTTGTTCAACTGCTGGAACTCCGAAAGCTGGGGTGAATATCTATGCCTGGCTGGTGCTGTGATTGGGTGCATAACTCATTAAACCCAGCTTGGCACCTACAACTAACTCCCATCTTAGATGGACCTGCTGTACAGGTTTGATGGATGCCACCAATATAGTCGCTCAGGAAGTCAAAGCTTACGGTGTGCACACCTTCTCCACAAAAAAGATGGCATTCAACATCTTCAGCTTGCAGAACATGTGCTCCAGAATGTCAATGTTGTACCTCATGCTAACTTCAAGTTCAATCTCCCTACTCTCAAACCTGCTTCTGCCTTTGAGGAACTCAGCAAATTGCATGATATCATCAACTCAGAAAAAGTCATTGTCATAACTGGGTTTGCTGAAGTTGGCCCATGGCATAGTTCATGGACTCAGTGGGAGATGGAAGCTCATGGAGAATTCACTATTGAAGGTTGCATCAACATGGCACAGATCATGGGCTCTATTAAGCACTTTGACAGCCATCTCAAAAATGGTACTCTACATGTTGGTTGGGTAGATGCCAAGACAGGAGAGCCTGTGGATGACAAGGACATTAGAAGCCAGTATGAGAAGGAGATTCTCAGTCATGCTGGTGTCCATCTAATCAGTGCATATCTCTCCTTTCCCTGTGATCTATTGTTGAATTCAAAATGTAGATTCCCTGAATTGTTCCATGGGTACGATCCCAAGAAGGTGTTCAACCAGGAAATCAAATTGATCCATGACTGGCAAGCTAAGTTATCTAGGTCATCATGCTAACCCTGGGTTCTAACCAGTTTAAGCAGTACCTCATTGACTCCACATGCACCATCATTTGCATCACCATCCTGTGCTCACTAGTGGCCTCCATCATGCCACTTCCCTGTGCCCCAATTCTGCAGCAGCCTACTATTTTATGTTCTGTCCATTCCTAGCCCCTGCAATCCTCTGCCGAATTCAATACACCTTTCCCCAGTAAGGATGGCATAGCCATGGATCTATGGTGACTTTCTCTTGCCATGAGGTTCATCTGACCTGATATTATGCACCAGCCCTTTGGTAAGAGGCATCATGGCTGCATCATGGTGCACTATTTTTTTGGTCAGGGTCAGTAGTGTATGCACCACTCCCACATTCAAAAGGTCATCAAGAAACTGATTGACAACCCCACTGCCCAGTCCCCCTTACACTCTGTCTACATGTTCTGAGTGCATCCATTATGAATCTCAGTGGGCACTCTCTGTCTGCACTTGCTGACTTAGATGAAGCTGATGCTGGTGAAGGTAACCAATGGACCACAAGTGCATCAGCTGGGTCAAGAGACAGCAGTGGTGGTCTTGCAGAGGCTCATACCCATGCCTATGCAAATTCCTGCTCTTACTGACTTCTTCACAGGTGTTGAAGGCCATCCAACTGCAACTTGATGTAGAGAAATCCCGCAATCAAGAGCTACTGGAGAAGAATACCATCCTCGAGCAAAACAAAACATGCTGGTCTATGAAAGACATTCCTGCCGACATTATCACATATGATAGTGAGATCAAGATGCTTGAGAAGAAGTATGCTGTCATGATGGAGATGTTCTTGCCACAAACACCACTAACTAATGCAATGTCTGAGTTGTCTATGTCCCCTGCTCCCATATTTGCAACAGCTGAGCATTATGCCAGCACTGCAGTGGAGGAACACAGTCTCATCACAGAGCTTGACTCAATTCTCCCAGAACATCTACATAGATTGAGACATACACACTTCTTTCTTGACATTGTATGTTCATGTTTGTTGCTTGGTCCTCCTGTACTGACAAGATCCTAGTTCACACAGGCAATGCAAAATGGTCATTCTGACATTCTGTATAAACTATGTGACAATGCCCATGAAATCTTTGGGCTACCGAAGAACCACTTCCTGCCAGTTGCGTCTCATCTCAAAGTTCCTGAAATTGTCAAGATGCTTGGTGTTAACAATGTGGGCACTCCTAACCAATGCTTCACCATCTGGTTCCCTTTTCTGTTCAAGGACATGAAAGTTGATGTGTGCAAACCATTCATGAACTGGAAGCCACTTGCTCTGGTGTGTTTGAAACTACTACCATTCTAAGTTTGCACTGACAAGGAAAAGTTTTTGAAGGGAGCACTGTGGGGCAAGATGTCCCTCACAGAAGGCTTTGTTCATCGTGGTGGGCCAAGGACAAATGGTCAGAAATGGAAGGTCACTGTGGTGACACTGGGGTCTGTTGCATGGGCAGCCACAGTGGTAAGTAGATTGCTTGCATCGATACAGCACCACACATCACTGATTCAATCCCCATCATTATAGTGTATGTTTCTACTTTCACCTGACAAAGAGTTCCCAGGGAATGCCTGCAGACAAATCTCAAAAATTGACTACTATCAAGTGTTCTGCACATACAAACAAGTGCTTATCAGCAAGTGGATGGGTAGTCACATCCAGAACATTGTCACAGAGATGAATCACTTTGTGTTTGGGAATCCCAATGGGGCTACCAAGTCCAAGACCAGTGCGATGGAGGACCTGTCTGCAGAGATCAATGCTGCCATGGCAGCAATGGATGCCACTGTGTTGTCAGATGATGATACAGATGAGGTAGCTGCCACTGATTCCAATGTTCACGAAAGTAGCTCTGGTCTGTCCACTCCAGATTCAGTCTCAATCACCAATGTGAATGTTCACATCAATGCAACATCCACACCCACTCCTGGCATGGGCAACATCACCAACTCAGCCACTGCCAATAGCAATAATGTGGAATCCAGTACTGGTACTACAGCATGGAATAAGTCTAGTGGATGTCATGGTAGAGGTAGATGGGCAAAGTAGCTACTAATTGTCATTACCATTAGTTGCAAGCATGTGTACTGTAATACTACTTGTATGCAATTTCGAAAATTTTGTCTAAGTCTTGAAAAGCTCCTTAAGAGGTGTTGATGCTTGTGTAGGAAGATTGGTCACATGGACTAATGGTAACACATGCTAAAGTAAGTCTCACTACTAGTTGGCACTAGACTAACTAACACCAAGTCCTTGGGTTCAAATCCTGATCAGAGCCATAAAAGATACTTAGTAATACTTACTAGTTAGATTGGGGATGGGTTGTATTAGTAAAGATTTCCATGTAAGGTGATACTAATAGCATAGCATGTAGTAGACAAAGATAAGATAGATCAAAATCAAAATCAGAATAGAATAGAATTGTGGTCAGGTGATAAGATAAGATTACAAAAGGTAATATAATATAAAATTTTTGTTGCCTTAGTCCAAAGTGTATTGCAATCCTCAGCTCTTGTTGCAATACATTGCAAGTCCAATTATGGTAGGACAGCAGTGCCCAGGGTCTGGATGTTTGTCACATGACAAGGCTATCATAACAATCATTATAATTACATTATAATTGCATTGCAATGTAGGGGTGATGGCACTATGTTTGTACTATTGACCCCCAAATATTACCTTGCTATGCCATAGCAATGCCTATTGTAAGTCCAATTACATAGAAAACTTTAGTATTGCAATGCCATTTTAATTATGCATTTGATTGCGGGCATTGCAATCGCTTGTGATGCATTGAAACTAATATACAGATTTTCCAACATACGGATGCTACACCTGATGGAACCATGTACAGACTAGCAATGGTGATGAAGACAACAACGACACTAACATGGGCGACAGTGACAATGGCAATGCTCGACACCGGTCGAGGGCCACGTGATGCTAGAACGGCCATCCAGTGGACACGGAGCATGGTTGAGGCCGATGCTGAGCTCGAGAGCTCTAGGTTTTGTTTTGATTTCATAGCATGTTACTTACAGCTATCCTACTCTAGGGCAAACGGGTATTCAAGACGAAGCATGACAGAGGTCCTCACGATTGCAATTCAAGGATCAATGATGAACTACGGACGAAAGCGATCGTCAAGGATACAACATCCGACACGCATGGATACGGAACCTGGCAGCTCAAATTTTTATTTTTGCTTTACAGATTTTTACTTATGGACACATGATTCTAGAGTGGATGACTTAGAAGGAAAACCGCAGCGGGTCACAGAGCGACAAGTACGAGGATCGCATGGAAGTACCACAGGACTAGTGCGACAGCTACGAGTGAATGATGACTTAGAAGGAAGTCCACATTGTCTTACAGCGCTACAAGTACAATGGGCGCAAAATGCCACAAGAAACAAGTTCAAAGCGACTCTATGGACTTGCATGCAAGACTTCATTCGAATAGCAACACAAGGGCGAAGTTTGAAGTCACGATGGGATACACGACATGCGAGAAGTATCGAGACCACACTGAGTGGGCTCGAAGGCCCAAGTTTTGTTGTTTTCTTTCAAGTGTT